AGTATTTCCTTTATTCGTATAGTAGATAGATTTTCTCTTTTCTTTTCTCTCCTTAGCTTTAGAATCCTCGTTATACGGTAGTTAGACGAATTACTCTAAATTCCTAGCTAATCCCTTATAATACCCCTAGAATTTCCGAGGGTACTCGTACGAGGTAACCTATTTCTTAACCGTCGTAATAAGAAGGCTTTTATACTAGGCGAGATAGAAAATTTTAATATATCTACTAGGCGGAAGAAGGTTATAGTTATCGATTCTAAGGATTTAATTAGGACTAATATATAATCTATTAGAAGTAAGATCGAAATACGATCGAAGAAGTAACTACTAAAGTAGAAAGAATTAGGCTATATAACTATATAGCCGAATAATTTAGAGAGTACGAGAACGGTTTATTATATATTATTTTATTTATATTACTTTAAGAATATAGTACTAGAATATTACGATTTTAGTATAGATATTTCCTTTACTACTAGTTAACTATAATTTCGTTTCGTTTAGTATTTCGTTTAAAGCTCTTTACTCTTTATAAAGCTAACGACTTATATAAGTTATCGAGAGGAACTATTATATCGTTAATCTCGACGTTACTCTCTAAGTTTTCTTTTACGATATCGATACTACGAGCCTTAAGTTAATAGAAAGAATATCTAAATACTAGCTATAAAGAATTATTCTTAATACGATATAATTACTTAGTATTACGATATTTCTATAGAAGTAAGGTAACTTCTCTACGAGTTAGCTAGCGAGCCTATAGTTCTAGGTATTATAGATATACTTAAGACGATTCTCTAAGTAGTAGAGTAGGGAGGAATATATTAGAGCTCGAGGCGCTTAGTTATAAAAGAAGAGAGAAGGGGCCTTAGTATAGAAGAATAAGTAAGTAAGGAAGAAAGTAGATAATCGAAGCGATAACGAAGAACGAAAAGAAATCTTAGGTACGAGAGCGTACGTTAAGTATTAGATAGTAGTTATAAGAGTATAGTTTATAGAATTAAGAGTATTTTTTCTTCTACGAGTTCGGCTATATAACTATATAGCCTAAGTTTTAGTAGTAGTAATCTTTATAAACGAAGCTATTATAGCTTTATATATATCTATTACGAGAAGTCTTAAAAGTATAGTCCTTTAGTAGGCTTAAGACTATAGAAATCTATAGCGTTACTATTCCTTCGCTAATATAGGTAAGTAAAGAGTATCGTTTTAGTTATAGCTACTATAGTATTCGTTTTAGCGTCGATTAGTTCTTATCCTACGGTCCTAGAAGAGAGAGAACCCCTAGTAACGTAGCCCTACCCCCTTATTCGACCTATAGGATAGGCGAGTATATATACCGATTTAACCTTAATATACTAGTAAATATATTATATAATATATATAGTAAATTTTACTAAAACTTCGATATTTTAAATTATTAAGTTAGTAGCGTAGTTAGTTAATTAATTAGAGTACTAGCGAGTTAGCCGACTTTAGCGTAAACCTTAAACCTTAAATTTTTTAAAAAATTAAAATACGCTAAATTTACTAATATATCTATATATAAAAACTACCTAGTTAGGAAATATAATAGTAGCTATAAGTTCTTATAGAATATAGAATAAGCGCTAAGTAGCCCTAGGCTCCCTAGGCTCCTATAGTAAATTAAGTTACGCTGAGCTACGGGCTAAAATACCGATATAGCGACGAATAACTATCGACTTCTTCTTCTCGATAGGTATAAAAGTTATACTTTATACGAATTTATATAGAAATACTATATAAACCGAGTAGTATTAGTCTATTTAATACTTTATTTAAGTTATATTTTCTAGCTACTTAATTTTACTTACTTTTCGCTCCTAAAATATCGCTATAGGACTAAAATCGCTAACTTAGTAAGGTACGACGACGCCTCGACCGTAAAGAAGAATAGGTTTCTTAAAACCTATAAAAAAGTAAGTAATAAGGGTCTATTATTATTTTATATTCGTACTAAATAGAATACGACTAGTATCTATTCCTAGGATCCTCGTAAAGTTATCCGATCTTACTAAGTACTATAAAATAGCTAAATTAATTAATTAATACTAACTACGCCGCTATTACGTAGATAAAATCTATATCTATCGATAGAAATTCGTACGCTACTTAATTAACGCTAAATTCGATAGGAAACGAACTTAATTTTACGGCGTAAGACCGTTTCTCGATTAGTCCGTTTACTACTTTAAAAAACCGATAAGGTATTAGATCGACTATATTTAGATATTACCCTAAAATTATAATAACTTACTCTTTAACGTACGTAACTAGATAAGCTAGTCGCTAGGAGATAACCGCGTATCGTAATCGATTATAATAAGGTCTTTACGAATATCGAGATAATTAGGTAGGCTAGGTAGGGAATGGAGGCATTAGAGGCGACGACGAGGTCTTCTATACGACCGAATACTAGAAATACTACGCGAAATGGGTAGTTAAATAATACCCTAGCACTATTTATATATTAATTTAGTGCTAATGAGTCTATATAATTAGCAAATCATGATTATAGTACTGTTGGTGGCAAAAAAATGCGTGTTTCATTACTAGGGTGTTTTATTACGCGGTGCCTAGACTTAGCTAATTAATCGGTCGACCGAGTGACACTAGTATATAGGGATTATAAGATTGACAACTTGCTATACCATAACGCCCAACCGCGAGTCATCGGCGTGCTGTACCGGGAAATGGTAACTATCGGACATCCACCTTCTGACGTTATCAACCTCGTCTCGCCAGGATCGTCAATTGACGAAGTAGGCCAAGTGGCTCGCATCGAGGCCGGTATGCCGAACGCACTCCTCCTAAATGTAACACTGGGACTGCCTACGCTAGATCAAGCACTTTAGTGGTACTATGAGGAATCTAGCTACAACGCGGAGATTGATCTGAAAGCGTTGTTAGGCTTTTTGTGGTTTCACGGGTGCTGTCATTGCGCAAGGGATTAGTGCTCGCTAAGCACAGCGTCAGGCCAGCGGCAACACGGCGAACATTTACGTGTTCCAGGTCGGTTGCTACTCGGACTTTGCCAAAGCTTTGGTTGACCAGCTTCGAAATTCGTCGGCTTCTCAAGCCAAACTATGAACTCGCCGCTAGGCTTGACGGGTTATTGTGATGGAAACAACCCCTCCTACCAGGAAGGGGGTAGTGCCGAATGGAACTGTTGGACTAGATAGACCTTCTTTTTCTTCCCGTTCCCTTTTTGGAACGACAATAATTAATACAACCGTTAGCTTTACTGAATTCCTTTCTCCTGCTGCCGTTTTATAGTAACTGTCTCAATCCCTAGACTCGCTGGTGACCTTGGGATTACTTCCGCGGCGCTTCCTGTCCTGCCCGATGAATGAATTCAAACTACCCACAAGCAAATACTGAACTCGAAACTCGCTGTAGCCAGTTTCGTCGAGCTCTATTCCTCACTCTCCCTCCCTTGAGCCTAGCTTATTTGGGTTCCAGAGCCTTACCTCATCATGACGAAGCGGCTACCAACAACTCGAAAAGTTCATCAAACCTCATTGACCAGACTCTTGTTACAAAATTCAATCTATATCCTTATAATTCACGAAAACTGCTCAATTTAAACGCACTGGTTTAAAGCTTGTCATTTGTACCTCTTCAGATCAGTACGGCCAGAGACAGTTGAGCGTTTAATAATAGTATAACTACCTACCCCACACTTTGCTTCTCCCTCCCTGCATCCCCTCCAATAAAGAAGCACCTCAAGTGCCCAACATGCATACGGCTGTCACTTGAGAATTGCGGTTTGAAACCAAAATCTCTATCGCAAAGAAGTGCATGGAGCGAGATCCACGAATAATCCAGATGAGTCTCGTCGGTCGCTGACCAAATTATGCAACACCAATCTTGAAATACCTCAACCCGCGACGAGTATGCCAATAGGGTCAGATAATCAATCTCTTTTAGTTTCCCTCTTCGGTTGAGATTTTCATATATTCTTCTAGCGCGATAGACTTTTCGTCTCCGCAAGGGCTTTGCGAAGGCGATTTCCATTGAAAAAGCCGCCGCTGTTAGATCTCCGTGAAGAGAAGCCTTATATCTTCAGGAATCTCTTGACTCCTTGACTTAAACTCAACAACCGGATAGTCGATGGGGTTTTTCGTAATGTTAGTGTATCCGTTTTTCCGAATCTCCTCCACACCGCCCGGTATGTTTAAGCAACGGATATCGTAGCTGGTGATAAGAAGAGTCATGAGGACTTTGATCTCGTTGGCGGCAAAAAAGCGTCCAGGACACGCTTTCTTTCCATGGCCAAACGTCAAGTTTGTGGTAGAGGTCATTACAAGTTGGTTTTGATGCGCTTGTCCAGCCTCCTGCCTTTTGCGATACATTCTCCACGGATCAAACTTATATGGATTCTCATTAACGTTCTCGTCCAAGGAAAGCGCGGCCCAGTTACCCCAGCAGAAGACTCCCTTAGGAATCATGGTGCCGTCCTTCATCGTCCAATCTTTTATTATGTACCGTTGAAACTTAACTATATCATTCTCAGAGATTAGATTTCTTTTAAGCGTATTCACCGTATACTTACGAGATGTGAAAGGGCAGAAACGAAGAGCCTCGACCAGAAAACTATCGAGCTTGACGAGATGAGTCAAGGCTTGTTTGGTCCATTGCTTCTCCTCTCGGAAAACCTGTACAATCTCTGCTCTTAACTCTTCATGGAATTCTGGGAAAATGGCGAGGAAGTAGAATGCTTCTAGGAAGCTCGTACTACTTGTATGAATGGCTGCTATATTAATATGCAGCATTCGAAAGACCATGATATCCGCTCTTCGCTGATCGGCTGGTGCGACGTCGAGGACCCACTGAATAGCGTCATCTGGTTTAATTTTTTTCCACTCTGCCCCACGACCGGCTCGGACATAGCTATCTTCTTCTTTGATGCGTCGGTCAATGATCGGGAAGAGGTGTTTTTTCGCAATCTTCTGGGCGTTGCGGATGTCTGTCCGAAACAACATGAGGAAAGATTTGAGGAAGTTTGGCCAGCTGCGGATCATTTCTGCTCCTCCAAAAAGCACCGTGGTGTAATTCACCGACAAATCATGAAATTCTCGATTCCGTGTTAACTCCTTCCCGAAGATTAATCTGTTTGCGGTCCTGGTGACGATGTCGAAGCCAAGGGGGTGCATTTTCTTCGGTATCCATTCTTCAACTATTATCCGTTAGTAGATGCAAGTAGTAGAAGACTGCGTGCGTCAGGGTGGCATTATAGTACCTTTTCCAGTGCCAATACTTTCTTGTACACTCAATTTAGCTTCCTCAACGATGTCTGCCAGTCTCGGTCCCAGGCTCTTGGTGAGGCTCTTGCTGATGGGCACATGGAAATGGAATTGGTCCCAAGCCAAACGGTGGTGCAGTGTCCAGGCAACCTGCGTAAGCTACGCTGAGAGTCAGTATATGCAGTGCAAAGATGAGAATTTCTCTCGGTGCTAGGAAGAGAATTAAAGAGAGCGTGCCTCGCTGCCCGCGATTAAGTTGTCCACATGTGTCTCCGGCGCAAGGCGAACCTCTTCCATATGTTTTGGAGCCACGATAAATATCTTTCTTCTTGGCGTGTTCAACAAATAATTAATTCCATGTTTCGAGTACTGTTCGTAGCCCTTTTGGATCAGATCTAGGCTATGTTTTACGTATAGCCTCTTATCCTCAAACTCGCCAAAGATCCCGGGGCGCTTTGATATTCGCAATGTTGGAACTTTCGGGTAGCGTGGTGCTGCAAGTAGTTTCCAGCCGAATAGAACGAGGAAGAGTAAGAAGACTCCGACAGAGCGAGCATCAGTGCTGACGACATCTTGCAAGATATCGATTGTTGCATTGTGGCTCTGCTTCCACGCATGGAGATGGTCCATTTTCTTGACGGGGAAAGTCCACCAAGGCTAAGTAAATGCTACACTACCGCGACGGGGAAATATTCCACCTGACGAAGACGCAGTCGAGTCGGGAGCTAACAGCTATACGTGCTGGTTGCCGGAAATCCGCTGCGATGGCGACGACCCATGGGCCCGTTCTCCAATCTACGACTTTCGAATTCTTCGACTCGAAATCCCAGACATCGAATTCTTCGACTCGAAACCCTAGACATCGAATTCTTCGACTCAAAACCCGAGACATCGAAATTTTCGACTCGAAATTCCAGACATTGAAGTCAGGCCGGTAACCATCAGCCAAGACGTTCTCGAACTACCACGGATAGACTAGAGACACTCTTTCTAATTCGCTCCGCGGGTGATCGATGCTAGTCCTTGTGCATTAGAATTTTACGAATCGTAAATAATCTTAACACCGAAGCACCTACATTCCCCATAGGACCTGTCGTTAGCAAATTAAACACGTACAGTATGGAGAGAGAGAGCAGGAGAGAGTTCGGTAGAACGCGCTCTGGCTATCGGGCTGGCACTGCGGCAGTGCCAAACATTACAACGTGATATGTCACCGGGGTGTCACCGACCACCGTGACCATAGGTCCAACACGTTGTTCCGGCGAAGTTTGGTCGGCGGGGTTCAAGATGCCTACTCTGACCGCCGAGTCGGCGGAGAAACGAGTCAATGTCGTCGCTCCGCGCCCAATGTTGCCTAAAGCATTTTCCCACCAAGATATGTGCCAAAGCCGTCTCCGACGAGCAGCTGACTGGCGGTCGCGGTTGACGATTTTTTCCTGGCCACGCAGTCCTGTATCCTTGCGCCTGGATGAAGCCATGGATTTAGGCGACTCGGACTCCCATGAAGCGGGAGCAAAGCGCAGGAGACTCCGAAAGGGAACACACAGCTGCTGGGAGTGTAAGCGACGAAAGGTGCGCTGCTCATTTGAATCGGCCACGGATGCCACGTGCGTCCCCTGCCGCAGGCGTGGCGCGAAATGCATCAACCAGGACCTCCCCGAGGACGCGAGTCTAGCTGGCGACGGGACTAGCCTGATGGTGCGCGTGGAAGAGCTCCTCAACCACCTGGTAAACAAGGTCGAACACAGCGGCGGCACAGGTAGAGGCTTGCCTACACCTAACATAGGTCAAAGACCTACTCCAGTTGCTCCCACGCCCGCCAGTGACTCTGAGCTGACCTCGCATACTGGGCCAACCTCCGTCTCGGAGCGGACTTCGTGTACTGGGCAGACCTCGTATACATCCGGGAATTTTGACTCACCAGTATGTGAGGCTATGTAAAGTACCTTTTCTGGCCGTTAACCTCTCGCAGGAGAAGCTTGCCCCAGAAACCGGAGACGCCGAGGCGGGAACTTCAGCAACAACCACCGAACCCCTCGGCTGTCAAACGGGCACACGGGTCCGAGTTGTGCATCCATATACAGGAAAATACGAAAAGGTATCACAGGCTCTCGTTGCAGCATTTCCAGCCCAAAGGGACATTGACATTCTCCTTGAAACTGGCCGCAAAATGCCTATGCTGTGTGGGCATTTACGCAACAAACTGGGTAGTGGAAGAGCCGATAGACCTCCTAACCTGAAGAAGATTCCTAGTACCCGCACTCACCCGGTCTTGTTGGCCAGGCAAATGCTGATATTTGCTACCTTTCTATTGTACGTTTCGGTCTATGAGAAACTAAGGGGCCTATCGGAGCACCATCGCTGCATCAGAGAACGTCTGGTGGATACTGCAACTAGTCTGGTAACCACCAATGAAGAGTTGTTTGGGACAATAGAGAGCCTCGAATGCATGGTATACGAGGGTTTCTATCATTTGGATTACGGAAATATCTGGCGAGGCTGGCTCGCATTCCGAAGGGCGATGGGTGGTGCGCAACTCATGGGTATCGATCGCCCACGCAGTCCCTCGGTGAAGATACTCGATCCCGAAACTGACATCAGCCCGCAAGCCTTGTGGTTTCGGATTGTCTATATGGACCGCTTCCTCTCACTGATGCTTGGCTTGCCCGCAGGCAACTTGGACTTGGGTATTCAGCCCGACCCTACCGTGCCATGTTACTCCGCGACCGTGCGGCTCGAACTGGTTCACGCCACAATATCGGCCAAAATACTGGAGCGCAATCGACTCAATATGTCGCAGAGCGCGATGGATATGACACTAGACATCGACAAGGAGCTGCTTAAGGGGGCTAATAGCTTGCCAGGCAAGTTCTGGGAGCCAACGAGCTTTGCTGGCCTCGACCAAGGTTCAAATGAGGCCTTCCTAGAAACCATGCGGGCCAGAGATCAGATATATCACTACACCTTGCTCAACCAGCTCCATTTGCCCTTCCTGTTCTGCCCAACGCCAATGGGCAAGAACGAGTATTCCAGGATTACCTGTGCTAATGCTAGCCGCCAGATTCTGACGCGATTTTTCGTGTTCCGCAGCTTCAATAACATTTCAGCTTGCTGCCGCCTGGTGGACTTCCTCGCTCTGGTGGCCGGAATGACCCTGATATTGGCGCACCTCGATAGCCACTGCCACCAGGAGAGGGAAAATCTGCTAGCGCACCAACGCATGGGAGATCGTGCCACAGTTGAACAGGCGCTTTCGGTGATGGAATTGAATTCCCGGCTCAACGAAGACATGCTGGCGGCCAAGTGCGCCGAACTGCTGAAACATCTGCTCGACATAGAAGCTGACGCCGCGCACGGGCCGTTGTACAGTTCGGAGGATGGCGGCGAAGCGACCACATTGTCCAGTCAAGACAATACCAATGTCCTCCTCATTGCTGTCCCGTACCGGGGCACTGTTAAAATTACCCGGAAGGGGATCGGATTCGTCGAGAAGAGCACGAAAACGTCGCTTTTCTCACAGGATCTCGCAGCTGGCATCACGATCGGTGGCATAGGATCCGTCAACGTTGCCAGCCCAGTGCTCGGCAGCAACCCTGTTCAGCCGGTTGTCAACGCCCCTACGAGAGACTTTGACCATACAGATCGCGAGATTCGTTTGCCTCGCCCTCCCTTGCATAACACACCTCCGCAACACTCGGAGAGGTCTGCTGCCCCGGGTACATCACAGCATCCAACTGCGGTGGTTGCAGACGTTTCCTTGCAGCAGCAAGAGCTATATCCCGGTGTAGCGGCAGACCTGAATCACTGGGTCTTCCAGGGCATTGATACAGCATTCTTCGACAGTTTGATGGGGGAATCAGGCGTCGATGTCCCCGGCGGGGATGGCGTTGCTGATTGGAACCCATCGTGGCACACTGACTTGAGCGGCTAGAGGCACAAGGCCGATCTGGCCCCGAATATATGTCAACAAGACCTCTGCGTGATACCTGTTAGAAGTAGAGATCTCCAGTACAATTGTTCCGCCGAGGCCATTGGAGTAACCAACCCTACAAAATCTACAAAAATTCTCTAATCTTTGAATATTAATACGAGTTACATTGCGAGAGATCTCTATTTTTGCCTCTCAGCAAGCGGAAACGCCTACGAATCCCGTAATCTGTGCTGGGTGATGTTCATGGACCACCTTTGACTTTCTTCGAATCCACAGCGTCGAGCTTCTTCCAGCCCATGCATAGGCTAAGCACGCAGCAAACCCCAAATGCGCCAATTGTGATAGCAAAAACGGATTTTAGTCCTGACATGTATGCCTCGACTACTGCAGAGATTTCAGACGAGTCAAAAGCGGATCGAATTTCTGTGGCGCCGACTAAGAGGACTGTCGCGGGGTCAATACCAGGAGCCGTAGTTGCCAGTTTGTTTAACAGCCTGTTGTTGAAGGCGGCCTGAGCAGCAGAGAGGCAAAGTGAGCCGCCGATCGTCTGAAAAACTAAATCTCAAAGGTTAGCGTCTCATTTAGGGTCAATAAGGATACTTACACAACATAATAGCACTAGACGACGAGATGTCCTCGGGCTTAGCGTTAACTTGAACCATCCCCATTGTGGTTTGGAATGTCCCTCCAATGGCAGCACCACTTATTATTTGATAGCCAATCCATTTGCCAGTGGAAGTGTTGATATCCATTGTGTAGAACAAGGCAGAGCCGGCAGCCGCAATTGCGGCGCCACCGAGCAATATCGGTGTAGGGTAGCCGAGTTTGACTAAAAGGGGACCTTGGAGGATGGCTGCTATCGTAAGTGTAATGATAAGGGGGAGATTGCGGACGCCAGATCCGATGGGGCTGGCGTTGAAGACGCTTTGAAAATAGATTGGTAGATAATATAAGATGGTGAAGTATGAGCCGGCAAGGAAGAATTGGTAGATGGAACCCAAGCCGACCGAGGCAAGCCGAAACTCGATGCAGACAATAAGTCAGCGGAATTCGGTTCTCGATTTGCAAAATGAAATAACGTACCAGTCGTGGAACTATCATGGCGCGCTCGTCCTGATATATTTCCCAGATGAAACAGACAACCCCGAGGAGAACAGCCCCCACGAGGAGGCCGATGACTACGCTGCTCTTCCAAGGCCTGGTCTGGCCGCCGTACTGAAGCGCGAGGTTGAAGCAAACAATCAGGCCCATGACGAGAACAGCACCCACAAGGTCCAACTGCAGGAATTTTTCCTTCCAACTTGCCGGGGCTGGCTTTGCATCAGGCGGTGTTTGGAAGAAGAGTAGCAGGACTGTGGCGACCACGCCGCCAATTGGCAAGTTAATGTAGAAACACCACCGCCAGCTAACCTTGTCCGTGAAAACACCACCCAGAAGCGGCCCTAAGACTACAGAGACACCCCAGGTAGCTCCCATAATGGCCAACAGTTGCGGTCGTTTCTTGGGCTCAGCGCCGAAACCGATAACGGTAAATGCGCCAGTTGCCATGCCAGCCCCGCCGAAGCCTGCAATGGCGCGACCGACAATGAAGGTGTCAGGTCCCTTGGCAACTGCACAAACTAAACTGCCGATTTCGAATATTGCTATGGCAACAATATAGTATGTCTTTAGAGGAAAATACTTGAAGAACTTGCCCCATGTGGATTGAAATCCACCAAAAGTCATGAAAAATGCTGAGCCGTACCATGACACCTTGTCAATTCCTTGGAACTCATCGGTGATTTTCGGGATCGCGGTGGCGATAATGGTCTTGAGAAGAGTGGGATTAGTTTAGGGTCTCTCAGCAGGTGTTCAAAGACAAACATTGTCCAGTGCGACTAAGAAGGTCGTGAGAACCAGAGCCGCAATGACCATGGTGAAGCGAAATCCGCTCGGATACTTGCTTTCTGGATCGCCCAGATACTCTTTGGCTGTCGCATCTTCGTTCGGGGCTTCCTTAACGGCGATTTCTACCAACTTTGAATTTTGGGAGCTGTTGTCACTTTCCAGTCCCTTCTCTGGTGTCAAATCGGGATTCGCCATCGCGCCTGGGTTACGCTGTGCAGCGCTTGAACAGATGGGGTACGCCTCCTTTTGTACACAGACAGATCTAGTTGGGCTATTTGTTGAGCTTTTGAGCTGCTTGTCTAGCTCATGGCGGTCGAGCCTACTGGGTCGATTCTAGACATGGGTCAAGCCCCTTTATATTCCAGCGCGGGGAAAGATCAACACGTGAAAGAGGTGCCTATTACAAAGCAATGGCACTTTCGGCTAGAAGACGATCAATTCCGTATGCTAGCGCGCCGGAGACGTCCAACGAGGTGCCTCCTTCCGCCGAACCTCGGCGGACATACGGAGATATGATTCCTGGACGTTAGAAGCCTACCGGGGTCAGGCAGATTCAACGATGTTTCAAGCATGCAGGAAATCTACTCTGGTAACACATTGCATGTCTTGATCCTTCATTACTGGATGGAGGCATGGCGCTGTCGATCGGACGCTGAGTGGAAAGATGCGCTGGTTGTCACTCGTGATGAAAGGAAGCGAAACTACCTCTACGATGCTAGAACTCTTTGACATTGTCTTATAGAATACTGGAGCTTGAAAAATATGGTTCTCTTCGGTACTAGTTGAGCTCGTCGACATTGTGATGCCAGCCGATAGGTGCCTAATTTAGCCTTTGTGTACTTTATCCTAGGACAGATCTGAAGAAGCGCAGTGCATAGTTTCCCGGCATCTAGAATCAGCACCCAGCTCATTTAATTGCACTATAGAGGAAAACCAGACCTTTGAATAATTCTCTTCATCTGAGAAGACTCAGGACTTGCTAAAAGTTAGGTCGGAGATCGACTTGGTTCAAGCGTTTGTACTCCCCAAAAACGTCCATTCTCTGCTAAAGCGGGGGTAGATTCCTCTATTCAACCACCGATTTCCGAAATTGGAATTGCTGATCTTTGTATTCGATCTGAGACGCGAGCAGATAAGCCCCCGTACTTACTTGGTCTAGGACAGAATGAATATCACAAAAGATCAGTAACCAGTCTTATCCTAGAGTGGCATTCTCGACAAGATCTCGATTTAACCTGTGATCTTCTGCTGCATAAATTATCCGCTTCGTCAACTCCATCAACTTGGAATCAATCTGGAAGTAAAAGCAATAGGGACAGCCCATGAATTTGTCCACATATATCCAGTGGGATGTCTCCCTTGGATCTTAATCATACTGTATGGACATAACTAGTTGAAAACTAAGGGATGATTACAACCTCGCCTAGCCATTCAACAGACGGTGCATAGCAAACCTAGGCCACCTCCTTAAGCACTGGCTTGATCACCTCCTTCTCGTCTTCGTCTTCATGTTTTTGGGGCCTCTCTTCGAACGCTGTGGTGTTACTGTGTTAGTGATTGGAGCATAATAAAAGATCCAACAACTCACAATAGGCCAGCTCCTCCAAAGTAGGGCCCTTGGTCTCTGGGTATAAGTAGTAGATGATGGTAGTCTCAACAGCGAGTTAGACCTATCACAGGTTAGTTTGAGCAGAGCTTCCTAGGTGTACAAAAGCTGAACTCACACAGTAGAAAAGGTAGAACTTCCAAGCAAGAGCGTCGAGACCAATAGGGTTAACGAATGCGTTGAAGGCTGTGCTGCCGCGCACGAAGAACTGGAGGATGGCAATGCCTTTTGCCCGATGGACGAAGGGGAAAACCTCAGTAATAAAGACATATAGGAGTGGCTGCATAATGTTGTAAGATACGTTGTATACGAAAATCATGGCCACTACAGCTACAGCTGCTGCGTGATCGCCAGTAGTTGCGAAGTGAGTGCTAACACCAGTGATAGTGGCGAAAACAGCAGTCATCAAACAGAAAGCGGTGAGTTACTGCACATGGCGAGGCAAGATGCGAGTCAAGAAGGCGCACAGCCCTGCGGTGATCAAACTCCAGCACTAGGTGAGAGTCAGCTGGCAACCTTGAATCAACGCAACAATGATTTGTGAGTCAGACGTACGGAAAGCGAGAGGTTAACAATGTTATGAGTGCGCTTTTCTGTGACTCCGACAGTAGTAAGAACTCGAGCCAGGTAGTAACTAGTAGAAAATAGTAATCAGTGATGAGCAAGTCGCAATATTGAAAGAATAGAAGCATCCGTGAATCGTGATTGCTTAGAGAATGTAGAACTTACGAGACGAGACCGTTCCCGGACCACTGGGAGAGAACACCCATGCACATAGCAATGAGAGCCCTCTTCCTGTTCCCTGAAGTCTGGAGAAGCTTAACCCAGCCCCTCTTCGAGTTTTCAAGTTCTAGTCTGAGTTATACAGAAATCTCGTTATATTCGGCATGCGCAAATGCGGAGTCGCGGTCGCCCTCAGCGTAGTACTTAATCAACACCTAGAGTGCCTCTTCGTTGCGCTCTTTGAAGAGGAGCCACCGAGAAGACTCGGGAATGAACCAGATGAAAATAAGCTGAAAGACAGATGGAACGCACTACACAGCTGACGGAATACGCCAAGCCCAGTTACTAGGAATGCGATGCGTACTGAGAGTCACTCCAGCCGCCAGAATTACGCCGGAGAACCAGCATGCATTAGAGAGCCTAGACATAACAGGGGCTCACGAGGATACGTAAGCTCGGCGAGCAGCTGCGAAGCTCCAGAAACGGCAAAGGGGATGCCGGTATCGAGGAGGGGTCGTGAGGCGAGGAACATTCCAACTAGATTCCAAGCTGTTAGTATCTAGAATGTTCCCCGTTCAATGGTGGCCACCATAGCCATTTCCGGACGTCTTACTATTAATGGAGCAAGTCTGGAGGATCGTGCCGATGATCAGGATAACGGAACCAAGGGCAATACTATATTTGCGGCCAATTCGGTCAATGACCCACGGGACGATGGGCAAGACAGGCAGGCCACCAAGGTTATAAGACGCGCCAGTAACTCCCAGTAGCGCTCCTTTTGGATGCCCGAAGTCTGTAATTGGACGATGTCAACTATCGCCTCGAACAGCCATGTACGAAAGGAAAACTCACGGTTCTGCCAGGATTCAACGGCCTGCAGTCCGTTGAGGACAGAACCATCATATCCGGTGGTCATCTCAACGCCTAGAGCTGCTGGCACAAGACAGATGTAGAGGAAACAGAGGTTGGTTTTTTGATACCATGGCCTGGTGTCCAAGGCCATAAGTCGGTTGACCTCCGACTGCTCAGCGATGACGGCGACATCTTCTTGCTTGGGCATCTCGGCAATCTTTCTGGCAGATGTCGACGAACTGAAACTGGAGAAGATTGAACCCCCGAGGACTGAGCTGACGGTTTGTAATTGTGGAAAACTGCGGCCTCTTAAGCTGGCCCGACGGCATAGACTTTGTGTGACCGTTGCATAGGTCGGCTTTTGAAACCCACGCGCCGAGGTAATCAACCGACAATACACGGTGTCTAGGAGAGTCTAGGGCCTTCGACAGCGTTGGAGGTGGCGGGTGCAATCCCACAATCCCGATCGGAAATCCAGGCGGAGAATCCAGTAAACTTTTAATGTAGTGGGGAGGCTTTAATACATATTGGGTTCACGTCGGAAAATTTGTCGGGTTTAGTGTAGAGACCGCACTTCTACAGTTGTGGCTCCACAGTGCTAAGTGAATTGCGGAGAGAATACGAGTTAGGTTTTTAGGAGCTGGCGACTGTGAGATGGTGCGGAGACTAGCAGGGAGTTAGTTAGGGAAAACGGTACTGGTATGACTCGATTCTGATGCCTCAGAGTAGATCAGACCATCGTACACTCGCGTACGAGTACAGCAGGCTTGGTTGAAATTTTGGCGATGGAAAATCAGAGATAACCAGAATTCCTTCTCTCTGTGGCGCCGTGACGGACCGCGACAGCCTGCTGGCTAGGGATGCTTTATACTTTCAATATCGAGATCAAACTATATGCAGGTCTTCCACAAAGCCCGCAGCCAGAGCATCCTTAACAAGTTCGCCAAAGCGTTTACCGATCCGAGTGAAATAATACATGCGCTCGTTTAGCGTCGTCCGGGAGTTACCGAGTCTCTCCAAAGCCGACTTAGCTTCTTTCACGCTCTTTTCTAAAGACGTCTGAAGGTCTGGTAGAACCTAAAGGATATAGTGATAAAGATATTTGTATAGCGCTAATCTTAATGAATTTATGCCCAATTACTTGTGGTGAAACAAAGCGTTTCTCTAAGGATCGCGATCAAACAAGGTCTGCTCGATGAGATCTCGATCTAGCTTATCGACATCTCTTTCCTGATCATTCAGACATTTAATAATGTATTAATCACGGGTGAATTTGAAGGCTACGTGATGATTCCTTGTAAGCTCCAGAACTGCTGGCCTTAGGCTAGTCTTTTCGGGGCGATCTGATATTATCAGGTTTAGTGATAACTCCGATACTGCGGGTGCCGTTAGGATCAAATCGCCGTGAAAAGGTTAGGATACCTTAATTGTCGATGGGATTTTTGGCAGAAACAATTATTAATATGATGCTTTGCTTTTATCTAAAATAGTCCTCGACAAGACCTTAAACTATAGAAATATCTTCTGTGTTCTTAGATGTACGTATCAGACCGGGTAAATCCACAAGCGTTAAATTTAGTAATTGTTGTCCGTCGAGCCTCAAGTGCAACACGTCTCGACTGACCCCCTAAAGTCCCTTCGAGACTCATCTTCTTCCTAGCCTCGTTCATTAGATCCAGGATATCATATAGACTGGCGATGTCTTTCCGGAATGATTCGAGTTCAGTTTTGTGGCGATCGGACGTATACTTTACTGAAGTGATAAAAGTATGTCCCGTGATGGATTTTACAAAGTATCTTAACGCAATCTCTGTGGTAAACTTCGTGTACATGAAGCCAGAAGCCGGGATCGGAATTCCAGACAGAGCCCCGAGCACAGATGACTTTCCGCTGCTTGTATCTCCGCAGGCGACGATTTAGGGAGATGATCAAGCCCGTGTTGGCGAAATTTGTCGATATTATTGAGTAACTCCAACCTTTCCTCTAATTGGAACAGGCTTATTGCGCTCTGGCTGATGTCCATGGTCACCGTATTGAATGTCAATTTAGCTAACTACAGTAGCGGGAAGAAGCTAGAGAGGTTGTGTTGTTATCGTTGTTAAGCCAACGTCAAGACTTGGACCAAGAAGAACGCACTCTATAGCGCACAGTCAGTCAGGCAACTAAAGAATTCAATTGACCCTCGCCTGACCACCTTCAAAAACGCATTCCGGTTTGACATGTATATATATATATATGTACGGAGTACATACGGAGACCCGATAGTTACGTCGTCCAGCTCCCTACCCTAGTGAAGTTGCTTCAGTGCGACGTTGTAGCGGCGGCGGCCAGTTTCATCTAAGCGCCTTCAGACTCAAGCGAACAAGCAAGAGGTACTCCGTAGCGCGACCTCCGCCCAACAAGGGAATTAGTGCTTGGAAGTACTGCGTAGTACCTCGTACAAAGGCCAAGATATTGGCGCCAAAGTGACTAGCGCGGGCAACCTCATGACGACGAGCAATGCGTAAGTGCTACAGCCTCTGAAATGCTTTGGAATCATGGATAATAGGCTCCAGGGGGTCATTTGCCTAGTTATTTTCTATATAAACCAGAACGGTAACCATAGAGTAGAAGAAGACAGAAATCTCATCTACGCTGACTCGCCTGTACAATTGCACAGTCCAAACCCTGCAACACAAGAACAGGGATTCGGTTTACCTATCACCCCATTGAAGTGGCTTCTCGACCCGAATTCGGATCATCTACATAGACAAGCATGATACAACCCAGGCGAGAGTCGAAATCCAGGTGTTAACGTCCGGTGTCAAGCAAGTTGGCTGCGGGGGCGCAGTGGAAAGGCTCTCTGGTTGCTCTATACACATGTTTATGTTGGCTGTGGTCAGCCGTACATATGAATAGCTAATTGAGCGTTAAGCCGACCAAGGGAATCCTGGTAACGCATCATTGCAGGGCTGAATGGGATAATCTATGGTGTCGGTATGGCAATCTCGCTTAGCGGTACGCATGCATAGGCTACAGTATCCAAGGGAAGCAACGATATACTGTAATAAGTCTCTGGAGAGAAACATGTAACGGGCCACATACCGGCTCAGGGCTTAAGAATGGAGTGATGGGCTTTTGCCTTTCCAACATATTTACACGGCAGGCTGTCAAGCCTTCTGACCGGCTCCGTTTTACCGCTTGGGAGTTAGCTAGTGATTGAAGAAAACTAGCCGTACCGGCATGAGAATTTACCGAACTTAGAATTCTCTTACCGAGGTAATCTAAGGCTAAGCTATACGTAATGACTTTCTTAGATTTAATCGCTACGAGAATAAAGTCGTACTTTAGCTGAGTATAACTTTTCTACTATTTAATTAAATAATAGTTAAAGTATTATAATTTAGTTTATAAGGGGCTAAACTAAACGTATGTTTACTAATAAAGATAAACGTATAAAGATATACTTTAGTATAAAAAGTGTACTTAAGTTTACTAGAATAAACTTACGTACCTAAATATAAGGTTATAATTATTAACGAAGTTAACTACGAAGTCGTAAAAGTAATAGCTAATAAGTATATATATAAGTAAGGGTAATTAATATATTTAGTAATATTTAGTCGTAATTAGTACTAATTATTTTAAACGGGACTAAGTACGTTAAGTGTATCAGGAATTACTAAGATAGAGTTAGTAGATTACGTGACTTAGAGACTATACTAGGCGATACTAAGCCACGCCAAGACTATATATACTTAAAGCGCTCACCGTATGCGTGTCCTCTACGACCCCTATGCTTTAAGCTTACTACGATAGAGACGTTAAGGTACTACTTATACCCCTAAAGGTAGATAATTAATATATTTACTAGTAAACCTACCTATTAGTATAAGTAGTACTTAATAAAGCGTATTACGTAATTTCGCCGTATTTTCCCTTATAAGCTTACATCGTTATTATTAGTTCTTATACGCCTTATATATAACTTAGTCGTAACTTAGGTTATAATATATCCGGTGGACAAGGTTTAGATCTATAGTGAAAGTAGCTCGTATTAAAAGAGTAGAATATATCGATATTTTCTATCTTAATTAAAAACTTAAAGTTTATCTAAGTAAAGGAGTATAGGCCTATATTATATAGGCGTAGGCTCCGCCGTAATATCTCGTAAGTACGACAGTAATAGCCGAGTACTTATAAATACGAGTTAACTCCTAGGATGCTTAGAAATTAAGGTGAGTGATTTCTAATCCTATAGAATAGAATCGCGTTCTATAGAATCTTCCGTAAGGCTTAGGTATAGCCTTACCTAAGGGATATCGCGTAATCCTAGCTTATATAAGCGTAATTATATAACTAGGCGTTTATAGAGTATCGCTTAGTCTTAATATAATATAATATTAAAAACGAAAAATTTAATATATTTAATATATTATTAAGTATCGCCTTTCTATATCGTACTTAAGGCTTCGGATACCGTAATAGGGTTTACTATAAGAGTAGGTTAGTCTAGATATATACTAGTCCTAGGCGTCTTTAGCGTAGTTATATGTTACTACTCGTCTACTAGCGTAGTTAAACTCCTTTACTTCGTAGGTATACGCGATAAGAAACTTAGATTTACTACGAAGGAACTATCTACTCGTAAGGTACTCGAGGCAGCGAGCGTCTATATATTGGCGTGTCGTTGATTACTCCCATGCTCCTATGCTCCCTTGCTCTATGAGGGGAGTAGTAGAGCAGTAGAGCAATAGAGTAGGTCACGTGCTCTTCCTGTGGTCTATGCGGAGAATAGGGTTTCCCTGTCGTTTCCTTCGTTACTTCCCCGTAGGGAGTTGCTCTCCTATAGTGGAGCGCCCTTCGCTATTCCTTCCCTCGGGGAATCCCTACTATAGGGTATATATTTCGTACACTCCTCTAGGGTAATTTTCGTAGTATAATCCTAACCCTATTAGGGCTATTTAACCCTAATAGGACTAGCGCGTAAATGAACTACGCCTATACCCTATAGAATATAATCTATTACGCTCTCTATTACGCTCTATATTCTCTATTACGCTCTTAACAACAATAATACCGCTATCGACGCCTAGACGTAGGCGCTTAACGCGAGATTAATGTATAGAGATCCTCTTAATACGCCGCCTAGGTATTATAATCCGAGCTATAAGTAGTTCCAACTAAGGTAGGTTTCCTTAATAGTATAGGTACTGAGTATTAACTAGGATAATAAATAGAATACTTAATCGTCGGACTATATCCTAAAACGTAGGTATAGGATTACTAACGAAGTTAACTATAATCTATCTTAACGAGGGTAGTAAGTATATATATAGAGTGCTAATAGCTCTCCCTAGATCTTATGGCTCCCCCTAAATCCCTTAAGATCTAAAAGATCTAAGAGATTCTAGGAGATCTAGCCTTACCTAGTTACGTAATATAGCCTCGTTCTCTATCGGCTAACTTCCTTCCCTAGGTAGGTGCCTTAATTCCCTTAGTAACCTTTTAAGTAACCTAGTTCGTAATACTAGGCTATTCGTACGCCTATATATTACGGACTAGGTCACGGATGAGGTCGCTAGGACAGGCGCCCCACGTTCCAAGGGACATTTAAGGAAAGTCAGCCGATGGAGGACGAGGCTGCATCACGTGACCAGGGATGCACTGATGCATTGTTGTATTGCTTCCAATGCAGCAATGCACTAAGGCAGCATTTTAAGCATTATATATACACGCTCCTTCACCTAGGTGGTACGGTTCGTAGTTAACTTCGTTAGCAATCCTATACCTACATTTTAGGATACAGTCCGACGAATAAGTATTCCCTTTGTTATCTTGATCAGCACTCTAGCACCCACTCTATTAAGGAACCCTACCTTGGTCAGAACTACTTGTAGCTCGGATTATAACACTATATCGCTATATTCCTTAGAGTTACGGAGCGTATAGTTTAATATACCTATTAAAAGTAATAAGCTATACTATAGTATTATAAGACTAGTAGACTACCTAGGCTATCTAAAGAGGAGGCGGATCGTATAGAAGAGTTTATTATATTCTCTAAAATAATACGTCGAATAACCTAGGAATAGATTATACTAGCTCTATAGCTAAATAGTAATATAAGCGCTAAGTCTATTCGATACTCTTTACGTTAACGAGGCTATTAATATCGTCCTACTCTACGTAAACTACCTCTATCTAAAGCTAATCGATAAGTACGTCTCGAGTGGGCGTAAGAATACCTTAATTAGACTAAAGAGCAATAGTATAAGATCCTATAGAGTGATGAAACCTAGGTAACTACTAGAAGGCATCGACGTACGCTAGTTACACGGCATAATGGGGAAGAACTTGAGCCTACCTACGTAACTAGTCGTGTTCGACGTAAAGTAGGTTAGATGCTTTGGGCCTATTTTACTAGTAATCAAAAAGGACTATATCTATTCTAGGAGAAGGATTAGGGTACGATTAATAGAGAGTCGTATAGATAACGTATTATTCTGCTCGGAGCCTCCTTATATGTAGTCTAGAACGTAATTATATAGAGATTTATATAGAGAGTCGTTCCTATAAGCATCGTTGCGGCGGCCAACTAATCTATAATTCATTCTATAGACTGAATCCAACACCATGTTCGCGACAGTGAGATACATGGCGTCTTCAATTTCAGGCTCCGGTGAAACTGTCAACAGCGCTCAAAGACATCTAATCTCCTCATTTAAAGAAAGTACACGGTGTGTACTCAACAGCGATAGGAACCAGCGGCTCACATATCTTCACGTCCATCATCTGATTCAAGTTGCTGCCGAAGCATACCGAACACTCAGACCCGGCAGACCGCCCGCGGACCTCCAGTTACGCGCAATTCTCAAGAAATCCATGCTGTTCCCGCCATAGGGATTGTTCCGAGCAGTCTTCTTTGAAACCGCGCCTTCGTCGTTGTAGTAGCCAGGCGTGCAAGCCAAAAGATACTCGGTGCGATCTTTGCTTTTTCTGTAAATTTCTTCCATCCATGTCTGCTCAGCTTCGGCAGTAACCTCGAAGCGTTCGATGTTTTCATTCTTCACCTTGGTCATGATGTAGACTAGATGAGCAGCCTGGTCGATCAAGCTGTTATGATAGTTGGGGAAGCCAGCGTTCTGCGCCGAGTTTACGATGAAGCAGTTAGGGAAGCCATTGGTTGCCCATCCGTGAAGGGTAAGAGGACCGTCGGACCATTTCTCCGAGATGCCCTGAGCGTCGACACCATAAATGTTAACGCTGTGACGAAGTGTCCAGTCACTGTTATACTCGAACCCGGTAGCATAGACGATACAGTCGAGTTCATATTCCTTGCTATTTGCCACGATGCCCTTCTCCGTGATTCGGTCCACGCCCTGGCCCCGAGTGTCCACAAGGGTAACACTTGGTCGATTGAATGTCGGGAGGTAGTCGTCATGGAAACACGGCCGCTTGCAGAATTGGTTGAAATAAGGCTTGAGAGCCTCGGCAGTCTTGGGGTCTTTGACAATTTGATCCACGCGTTTGCGAAGCGACTCCATCTTCTTATAATCAGCCAATTGCAGACCCTTGGCTGTCTCTTCAGGAGTCAGAGATTCGTGATGACCTGTCTTGCCTTGGCCATACCAGCCAGTCAAGGTTTGTAGGGCTGAAGTCCATCCATCATCGACCAAGTCCCTTTCCACTTTGTGGCCTGTGCAGATAGCGGCAAAGTTGTCCATACGCTCGCGTTGCCAACCAGCTGGCTGCTTCAAGAAGGTGTCTTTGTCTGTTGGCCGATTGTTACGCATATCGACTGATGCTGGGGTACGTTGGAAGATATAAAGTTCCTTGGCCCATCTGCCGAGATGGGGAGTGACCTGGACACCTGTGGCGCCAGTTCCGATGATTCCCACGCGCTTATCAGCCAACTTGGTCAAATTTCCTTCCGTATCCCCCCCAGAATAGTCGTAGTCCCAGCGGCTAGTGTGCATCTGCTTACCTTTGAAAGTCTCGACGCCGACGATACCGGGGAATTTAGGGTTGTCGAAAGGCCCACATGCCGAAACGAGGAACTTTGACGTGATGAGGTCATCTCTCGTAGTCTTCATGTGCCAGCGTAAGGTGGCTTCATCCCACCGCACCTCACGGCAGCCTGTCTGGAACAAGACCTTGTCATACAACCCGAATTGGCGAGCGAGAGAGCATAGATACTCATAGATTTCATTTCCGTAGGAGTACTTTCGCACTGGGACGTATCCAGTATCCTCAAGCATGGGCATGTAGATATAAGATTCAATATCAATCTGAACGCCTGGGTATCGATTCCAATACCTAGAATCTATATAAGCACGGATGCAGCATGAGCACCGGCGGAGAAGACGTACCACGTTCCGCCGAAATCCCCAGCCTTTTCCACGATCTTGATATTCTGGAACCCGGCTTTGACAAGACGGCAAGCCATTAAAACACCACCAACACCACCACCGATGATAGCAATATCACTCTCCTCCGTGACTGGGTCGCGTATGACTGGCTTGGCAAACGGGTCACCTACCATTTCCGGAAGGATACTGAGGTTGGTGTCAACCACATGGTGGTAATTTTCAAGACCAGCCCTTTGGAGGCGCCTTATTCTCTCATCGTTGTATTTGGCGGTCATTTGGTCAAAATCGACATCCACCTCGCGCCAATCTGGAGGCACTTGGGCCTCTGGCGGAGGAGCAACATCGGCCAACGTCTCGTTGATAACTGATACTGGGGAAGTTTCGGCAGCCATTTCCTAGTCAAGGCCGCTAGTCTGTAGAGTATACACCAATGGATTAACGCAATGCAGGAAGAAAATTACCGCACTGTAGCATGAATATATACCGTTTCATGGCACTCTACAGCAGATCAGGTCATGGCTGATTGCAAGTTGCTGACAAATCAAGTTCCGCCTCGTGAACGACTCGTGCAGGTGTTCTCGTAGAAGCGATAATTCGTCGATTTATGATTCGCTGGCGGTTGATTCCTGAAAAACCGCGTCCATTCGCACTTGGGCTGGACGAAGCCAAAATACGGTATGTCTTACCCCATCACAGAATCGACGGCGCCAACGAAGAATGTAGAGATAGGCCCCTATCAAGACCTATAGTTAAGCATAGTTCACAGTCGGCCCTCGCTGTCGGCCCTCGCTGTGAGTCGGAACTGCAGCCGCATCAATAGTGGGGAAAATAGTATGGAAACCCCTTTTCCGGGTAGAAATGTGTATTTTTGTAAACTCATCGAATTCAAGCGATTTAAGGCTTGCGCTGTCTACGCCTGTGTTGCTTGCGTCTACGCCGCAATATTATAGATATTTAGTACCCGAAATTATGATACAAGAAAAAGCCTAATCATTCTTTATTCAGTAGAGCAACCGTTATTCTCTCGTAATTAGCCCCTTTTACATGATTACTATAATGATTTAGCTCTCCCGCTTGAATTTAATGGTAATAACGAGTGCATTTAACTCTTATTCGAAGGTAGCGATAATGCTTACCGCAAGGTATTTTCCTGTAGGCGCAATAAATCCTCATTATTATACTATTATAGTTAATTTAAGTAATTATATATAAACCTAAACAATATTAATAATTATTACCCTCTTAATAAGAATTAACGGCTAGTCGGTGCTAATAATTAAGTTTAGTTAACGAATATTAATCGCTCGATTAATAACGTTATATTGCGTTTAGATCTCGTACGAAGTACTAGGGCGAATTATAAGATCTCGACGTAGAATACTAGATACGAGAGTCGTACTCGTTATGCTACTAGTAAGTATATACGAAGCGAGAATTTAATTCCTAGTAAAAATACTAAGTAAGTTCTTTACTCGATTTATAACTTAGGTTATTTATATAAAGATATATATATATATAAAGCTTAATACTCTTCTTAAGGCCTTAGTATATAGCGTAGTATCGTAGATACTTATCCTTCTAGAGGTTATATCGTAGAAGAGTACTATATAACTTAAGGACGAGCCGCCTAGCAGAGGAGATAATTATTAGGAATATCCTAGGCGGCTTCCTAGTAAGTATATAACTAATAGGTTCGAGAATACTTCGTACTTCGTACGAGATTCTAGTCTTTTTAAGCGATTCTTAAGGGCTTACGAACCTATTACCTAATATCGAACCTTAATATAACTTAAGATAGTATTTAAGCTTAATCTAGTTAAGTATAAGTTAGCTTCTACCTAGATTATATTTACTTCTATATATTTAAAGGGAGTAGCGACGTTATAGTTCTAGTTAATACTAAAAGACTATATCGAAATAGATACGCCGAATAAGAATATCTAAGTATACTTTAGGAACTTCGCTAAGTTCGAGTAACTTATTAAATAAGTCTTTAGAATCGTAAACGAAGTCCGCGCTACTTTACGAACTATTTATACTCTATAATAGAAGAAGTCGACTACTTCTTACTCCTCGAAGTTCTAGAAGAACGAGGCGAATATAATAATTAACGAGAATATTACTTTCGCGAAAATAATCGTAGAAACTATAGAAACCTTATAGACCTAAGTTTTCTCGACGCTAGCCGCGCCTTACGCGTAATAGACCTTAAATAAAGATATAATAAAGGAAAAATCTATAGAAACGATAATCGAAAGAAGAGACGACTTAAGAAGGAAAATCTATACTTTAAATATAAGAAGTTCGAATTATTAGGATTTAGCTAGAAATTTAGAGTAATTCGTCTAACTATCGTATAACGAGGATTCTAAAGCTAAGGAGAAAAAAGGAAAGAGGAAATCTATCTATCATATAAATAAAGGAAATACTTTCTACTCTCTCTTATAGTAGACTAATATAGTTTCCTAGGAAATAATTAATAGAAAAGAGTTATATAGCTTCGATCGTATAGTTATATAAGCTAAAGGTATACTACGAGTAATCGCTCTAGAGAGTACTCTAGAACTTTATACGAATTTAACTCGTAATATTATCTTCTTCTTCTTTCTATATAGCGCTAAAAAGCTACTACTCTTAATAAAAACTAGCTTCGTATCGAATAGCGTATAAAATAAAACTCTTATTTCTACTTACTTTTATTCTACTTTTTCTTTTCTTATACTAATTATCGAGAAAGTTTTATAAGTACTTATTTCTATTATATTATATATAATTATTAGTTATTACTAACTCTTATACGTCTATAGTTAATATAGTAAATAAGTAAGTAAACTAATCTATTTTCTTCTCTTAAATTCGCCTTCCATACTCTAAGCTTTAGACTTTTTTATTTAGTCGTATATATTAATAGAAGAATAGAGAATTAAGATAATATAGTATTAGTAGTATAGAATATCGCTATAGCTTAGTATTAATTAGAATAGCTCGCGCTAACTTAAATTTCTATTTTTTTTAACTTCGAGTAGTTACTAGTATTATACTACTATAATACCTCTTAATAGACGATCTTAACTATACTAGAAATTAACGTATCTTTCGTACGAAGAATAGTTACTTTAGTATAGATTCGATTATATCGACTATTATATATTAACGCCTTACTTATTTAGAGCCGAGATATTCTTTTCGATTTTTATAATTATTATAAGCGCTTAATACGCCTATTTCTAGGGTATTGTCGTATCTTAGAATACTTCGATAGTATATATAATAACTATAAGTAGTTAGATCGCGATATTTATTATAAAAAGCGCGATAAAGACGATAATAGTAGTATTATAGTATTATCGTCGAATTCGTTTAATAACGATAATATTCTCCTTCCTCCTCGTAAGGCGCTCCTTCCTTTTTCTCCTTCTTCTCGCTTCGGCGAGTTAGTTATAAAAAGGCTCGTCTTCTAGCGGTAGATACGTACGATATTTCTTTTATTTTTTTATTCTTATATAGTATTAGTATTAATATTAATATAATCTTAGTAGATAAAGAATATTCTCTATACTTAACTATAGCTTATATCTTAATATAGCGATTAGAATTCGTCGTACGATAATTAAATAAGCTAAATATATATAGTATAATAAGATATTTTATTATTTTTATAGTTTCTTCGTATATACTTTCTCTTTACTTTTATATAGTAATTAGTGTCCGAGGGATAGGGTTTAGATTTAAAGTAGAAGTAGCCGAAGACCGTAGAAAGAAGGAGTAGAATATATAGTCGCTTTCTATCTTATTAAATAACTTAAAATCTATCTAAGTAAAGGAGTATAGGCCTATTTTATATAGGCGTAGGCTTCGTTATAATATCTCGTAAGTACAAGAGTAATAGCTAAGTATTCGTAAATACGAGTTAACTCCTAGGATACTTAGAAATTAAGTTAAGTAACTTCTAATCCTATAGAATAGAATAGCGTTTTATAGAATCTTCCGTAAGGCTTAAGTATAGCCTTACCTAATAGATAATACGTAATCCTAGTGTTACGAGTTAAACCCGTATAAAGCTCTAGAGTACTCCCTAGAGCGATCTCTCGTAGTCTACCTTTAGTCCGTATAACTATACAGCCGAAGCTACGTAACTCCCCTCTATCGATTATCTCCTAGGAAACTATATTAATCTACTATAGGAGAGAGTAGGAGGTATTTCCTTTATTCGTACGATAGATAGTTTTCTTCTTTTCTTTTCTATTCTCTCCTTAGCTTTAGAATCCTCGTTATATAGTAGTTAGACGAATTACTCTAAATTTCTAGCTAAACCCTTATATTATTCTAAAGCTTACTATCGTATATAGCGAAAGAGTACCGCGTACGAAATAGATAACGGTTAGTAACTAACGGAAACTACTCTAGCGTAGGCGGTAGAGCTATACTAGCTCTTATAGGCTTAAAATTAAAGAACAATAGTACTTAAGAATTAACTCGACTAATAGAATAGAGTACGGGCTCGTACGCCTAAAGTAACGACTTCTACGACGGCGAGCGCTATATAGAAATTTAATTCTATACGACGAAAGGCTAAGCTTCCTAAGCTAGCTAAATTTAATAGAAAAAGATTAGAGTTTCGGTCGTAACTTACCTAAGCTCGAGCTAAGTTAGCGGTCGATAAGTAAGAAAAAACTAAAGTCGTACGATTTTAGTATTTCTATAGTAGACTAAGGAACTATACTCTTATTTAGGTTAGCTCGTAGGTTAATTCCGTATAATTAATCCTCGAAATAAATACGAAAGGACTTATTAGTTAATTAAAGGCGGCGTACGAGGATATCGATATTATAGAGAAAGTATTACGAAAGCTTTTTTAACTAAAGTAGAATAAAAAGTCCTTTAGCGTATTTCTTATCGAGTTTAATTATACGCTACTCGAGGCCGGCGAACTAAACTAGGCCGACTCGATAAAAAAGATATTTATATTAAACTACTTTTCGTACGACTTAAAGAACGCCCTCGTTATAATACTAATTCTATTAATTTATAGAGAGTACTATATTCTCTTCTATATAATTAGTATAAATCTAGAGGCTCTTCGATAGAAGAAAGCTAGAGAAAAAATATTTAGGAGTAATTCGTTTAATACTACTAGTTATATAAAAGATAAGATAGATTAGACGTAGACTATATAAGCTATAGCGTTCTCGATAGAACTATAGAAAGCTTTATAGATATCGTAAGCGATACTTAACTAAAGAAAGGAACTCGAAGTATATCTTCGCTACGACTAATAAAGTTACTTTATTATTAAATATCCTTTCCTTTTCGTCGTACGACCTAAGATAAAGAGGAAAATAGTAGTAGTAGTAGAGACTATAAATAAAGACGAGGAACTATTAAAAGAATA